ACAGACAGCCTCTTCCCAATATGCGTTTTTGCAATTTGCATATATGCAAAAACGCATAAAAACTTGAGATATACTGCAAAACGCTGTGGAAGAGGGAAGAAATTGCCTCAAATTCTCCCTGAAAGAAAAAACGCTTCTGCGCGGTAGGAATAACTAGTAATTCAGTGTTTTTCTAGTTACCAAAAACTTTGATAGATTTATGGAAATTGACCAAAATATTATGTCCAGTATGAGGACGATTTTTAAATATTCTTTTTATGCGTTTTGTGCTGTATAACAGCATACAAAACGCGTATTGTCACGGAGCTGTCTGTGTGTATGTGTGTGTATGTGTATGTGTTCGAGTGCGTTTTGTCCTGCACTTTCAACTCGGGAACCACAAAAGCTAGACGGCTGAAATTTTAATAGAGTGTTCTCCGCCAACGTGTGACCCCGCAAATTTAAATTCAGCCTTCCCGTACACGCGGGTAACAAGTGCGGCCCTGTAAAAGTTTCAACGGGTAAAATCATCTCGGGAACCATGGAATCTAGGAAGTTGAAACTTTAGGGTAATGACCCCTTTCCACGTACGACTTTGCAAATTCAAATTTAGCGCTCCCACGCTCTCGGGTATCACCAATGGCCCTGTGAAAATTCCGGCGGACAAATTATTATCTTGAGAACTATAAAAGCAAAGAAGCTAAAATTTTGCGGTAATGCCCCATGCCTAAACACAACCCCACAAATTTAAATTCAGCCTTCTCGCATGCCCGAGTATCACTTACGGTCCGGTGAAAGTTTCGGCGGCGAAAACTATTAACTCCGGAACCGCGGAAGTTGGGAATCTGAAATTTTAGAGTGATGTCCTCTACCAAAATACGACCCCGCAAGTTTGGACTCAGTCTTCACGTACTCCCTGATACCACGTACGGCCCCATGAAAATTTTGGTAGGGAAATTATTATCTCGTGAACTGCAAAGACTAGAAAACTGAAATTTTAGCGTGGCATCCCCTGCCCATCTAAGACTCGCAAATTTTCAACGTCCCCGTGGGAGTTTTACCGGGAAAAATCATTATCTCTGGAGTCAGAAAAGCTAGGAGGCTGAAAATTTCAGACTATGTTTACTGGCTAAGCAGGTGCTTCATAAACTTGAATTCAGTTCCTATGTATATCGAGCCCTCACGTGCGAACACGTGAAAGTTTTGTTGCAAAAATCACTCGAAAGCCAGAAAATTACGAGACTGAAATTATGGAAGGATATTCACCCTTCGAAATTTCAAATTCAGCTTTTGTATACTGGTGCGTGAAATTTTTAGTGGGAAATTCAGCAACTTAGGAAACAGACAACATCTCAACTATTTTTATACAGATCAAAGTGCAAAGCAATGAAAATCATAAGCGAGCACTCGTTCAGTGGACGGAATTGCAAAAAACGCATGATAGCGCTGACTGTTCCGGTGTGCGACGCTATTTATTTTCTTCGCTACGAAGAAACTGCTAAGATTTAATCAATTAAACTTACAGATATGACAAACAAACGCACACACTTACCGCCATAGCTTTTCGGAGCTGCTGTGCGTCATAACTTGCAGGTGGTTCCATCAGTGCCAAAATTAAATCCTCGAAATCGCCGGAGAGCTCACTTTTCAGATCATTGATCAGATCTTTACCATACATTGTTTTATAAGCTGCAGCTATTTGCTGGCGCTTAAAATCTTTGAAAAATTTTTTTCGATTTAAAAATTTATCGACTATTTTCATAATCTCAGTGATTTACACAAACTACTTTGTTCCCAACGTAGTCAAGTAATCCAGCAGTCCCATGGTACTGACACTTGATCAAACCAGCATCAACGGCCATTTACAGCACGCCGAAAAGACAATGAGTAACATTCTGGTAAAACAAACTCGGGCAGTGCAAACAGCACTTTGCCAAATCAATCAGCAGGCATTAGTTCAGGAATCTATTAAACAGCAATAATCCGTACCCGAAATTTGTCGCTTGTTCAAAGTTAGCATAATCTAGGATACTCGCCTTTGACTAAGCACCATTGTTTCCACGCCGGTATTAGATGCTGCAAAAGAAAACATACCTGAAAATTAGCTCGAGCACAAAGCACATTGACCACTTTCGTTTTGTCGCATCCTAGGCCTTTCATTGCTTTGCGTAGCGTTTCTGCGTCTCCATTCGGATTAAACGGCTGATACGGGCGAATTGTTGGCGTTCCTTGCATCCCTAAATCATTTATTATCTTGGTGAAATTTTCATCAGTTTCACAAATGCGGCTTCTTTTGCATTACATAAATGCTTTAAGATGTACGTCTAATTTTTTTTATTTTCTATGGAGAAAACATACAAGCCTTATTTTTACATTTTTCATATGTATTTTTTCTGCACTTTTCCAATATTTTTCTTTTATAGTGTTGTAACAGTTTTTGATATTTTCACAGTTTACTCCATAGAAATCACACCCTAGGCTCTCAGTTTCAAATCATTTATAGACACATGCATACGCAAACCGAAAACCAGCAGCGATTAATTAGTTTTGAGTGTCGTGACGCACTGCCAAGAAATGTTGGATAAAAACCTAGGTTGCAGTACACCAGGTTTGCCAATACGACCAAGCGTTTTTGCGCTAAACTTGAAGCAATCAACTCGTTATCTGGATGAATGATTGTTGCTTTCATTTAACTTGTGCACTCATTACCGTAAATCTTACATGAAGGGAAATAAATAATTTCCCACGGCCGATCGTTCACTATTTTCAGTTGTTAACTCAGAAAATTTCATAAGCCCGTACGTGAGAAATAGGCGTACTTAGAATCTGAATCTGAAATCTTTAAACTGTACGAAGACAATTTCAGCTTTTCAGTTTTTCTTTCCTGAGCCAGCAATTCTCCCGCTAATAATTTCACGTGCCCACAAGTGGGACCGAAAAGTGAGTAGAAGTTGGCACCAAGTTCCTGAGAAAGCGCCCGGCCAAGGATTCCACTGGCAAAATTTCAGCATCAAAGCTTGCCTGATTGCCGAGCTGAGACACCCGGACAGACGCACACATATTATGGGTTGTCACGATATACGTTTTTATGCGTTTTTGCTGTGCAGCGCTATAGCGCTGCTACAGCCAGCAAAAACGCATATT